ACTAATCAGAGGCAAGAATACAAACACAATTAAATTACCATATATGTGGACATTTAGCGGAACTTGGGAAATGAATTATCATCACAAAAGCAGATAGTATTAACTTCTGAAACTGCGAATGCAAATTGAATAATTTTCTGCCATGGAGTAATTTTAAATCCTTTTCTTTGCAAATACTTTTCTATCCCTGTACACATGTTCAAGAATAATGAAACTTTATTTGAAGCCTTATATTTAATACATAAAAATATCTTTTATATCTAAGTATAATACGAAACCGCTAAAAAGTGTACATGTATATAGACATACAAACTTTCCTTATATAAACCAAAAGCTGGTAAATAAAATAATCACATAGATATTGATATTATTCTTCATAATTTTATTATAAAGTTAAGTATTTAAAACAACAGAGTCAAACTCAAATTAACATAGTTAAAGAGCATAATTTATTTAGAAATTTTCAAACTTAAACAATTTCAACCAATTTCATATACATTAACCATCAAAAGCCCAACACTACAGAGTCCTATCAAAATTGTGAAATTCATCACAGTAAAACGGAAACACTCACACACAAGTTATATAGTAAAAAATTATTATCTTTAAATTTTTATTTCATGTCATCCTGGACATTCAAATTAACCAACTATAAATATTGAAAATGTTTACCTTTTCCAAAATTATGAAATTTTCTCCCCAACATTCTCTCTCTCTCTGAAAATGCATACATTCTTTGTGATCTTTTCTGTTTGTGCATTCATAAACTAACATAGTTGCATAGTTTTTCAAGATCAAATTTTTTCTACTTGGGCAAGTTAATATTATATAGTGTATGATTTTCTTTCTTTTGGGCATTAAATAAAAAAAGACTTTTTAAAGCTCTCTTCAAATTGTGAAAAGGGTAGGGGTGATATTTCACTATATAGATTATTTAGTAAAAAATGAATTATTTCTTTTAAACATCTTCTTTTTTTGAGTATTAAATAAACTAACCAGTACATAGTTATGTTGAATAAGCTCTTCAAAATTATGAATTTCATGGCCCCTGGGTAAGTGTTCTGGTGTTTGGGGCTTTATTGATTATACAGTGAAAATGCATAAATCTTTTATTATTTTGTGATATTTAACCAATGAACTATGCACATAGTTATGAGGAGGATAGAATGCCTCTTTGAGATTTTAGAATTTCAGGTCCCTGGGTTAAGGGCGGGGCTCTAATGTTTATATATGAAAACATGAATCCTTTGAAAATCTTTTCCTTTGCTGCTGGGTATAATGCCAAATGATCTTAGTATATATTTATGACAAAAAGCCTGCTTCTTCCAAAAATTTTTATTGGGGTACTTTGAGTTGGTGACTTGAAATAATTTAATGCTTTAAACGCACTTTGGTATTAATCAACTCATTTGAAATTAAATTTTAAAAAAATTCTAAAATTTTGAAAGTTGGCAAAAATCAATGGTTATGTAAGGTATTTGATTTCGGGGAGCTAAACTTTCCTAATATATAGCCCTGACCCAGGGGCCCTTTTCTTTAAAAGCAGGCATTTTCTCTGTGTAATTTTGATCTAACTTGGTATTAAGTAACCAAAATAAGCATGCTAGTACATAATTATGATAAGCAATGGTACTCTTTCAAAATTGTGAATTTCATGGCCTCTAGTATTAAAACATGAATCAAATCAATTGTTGGAAAGTTGTCGCATGACCAGCTCGTGGGCCTCTTGTATTTTAAGTTACGACAAGATCTCAAATTAACATAGTTAAAGAGCATAATTTATTTAGAAAACAAAGCAAATATACATTAACCATCAAAACCCACTATTTTTCTCATAGTAAGAAAGTAAAACAATTATCATTTATTATTTCATGTCTTTCAAATTTTACATTACCTCCCTCTCTCCCCCCTCTCTGTCTTACTAATTGTGATACATGTGTCATATAACATATTCATCGTTTTCAAGATAACTTTTTCAAGTTGGGCAAGTTAATATTGTATGATTTTCTTTACTGGGAAAAAGATTTTTGTCCTTCAAATTTGAGAAATAATTTCCGTTTGTCTTCTTCATTTTTTAACAATGTCCATACCAAGCTCTTCACAAAGTGCTTTCACTGCATCTTTTATTATTTTGTGATTTTGAGCAAGGGCAGACGTGGCTGTCGGGACAGGCAATGGCATACTGCTTTGACTCTTCTGTTTCTTTTTTCCTGCCATTTTTATTGGGGTAGTTGGTGACCTAAACGCAATAGGTACCTCTTGAATAGTTGCAGAAACGATGGTTCCAAAGCTTTCCATAATATATTGGTCTGGTTTAAACGCAGGAGGTGTAATTTTGAACGAACTTGGAAGATTCTCGTAGGTATCGAGTGAGAACGCTGGTACCTTTCTGAAAAGAACAACTGATAAATCTTTAGCATCCAGCTCATCTTGACATTTTTTACGCAAGATTTCAAGTGTTTTAATTTCTTTGACAAAATCGCCATTTCTTGAAGTAATCATCTTTTTAGCTTCTTCAGTAGTTGCCTTCATTTCTTCGGCCTTATTTAGAATGGTTGTTCGCATTTTTTCAATAAAATCTTTAGCGTCCTTCATCAAGCTCTCTGAAGCTTGCTCCAGTTTTTCTAGTTCTTCGACCAGCTGCTGTTTTGCTTCCTCTCTTTGGTGAATATGGCTCTGAATGAGATCTAAATCACTTTCAATCATAGCTCTTTTGTTTCCAAAAAAATTGGTAATATCTCCAATTCTGTGTCCAGTATGGGTAGAGATCAGACACTGCGAACATATTGCTTGATTGCAATCCTGACAACATAAATCCACTGTTTTAGATGTATGTTTAGGACAAGCAACTTTCTCGATTTCCTTCATGGTAACGGAATCAGCTTTCCGTTTCACACCTTTTTTCGTTGAAGTATTAGGTGTATTTGTCATTGTCGTATAACCAGGTGTTGGGGCATTTGAAGATAATGGCGCATAACCAGGTGTTGGAGCATTTAAAGTTGATGGAACATAAACAGGTTTTGGAGCAATTGAGGTTAATGGTACATAACCAGGTTTTGGAGCATTTGAGGTTAATGGTACATAACCAGGTTTTGGAGCATTTGAAGTTAATAGCACATACCCAGGTTTTGGAGCATTTGAAGTTAATAGCCCATAAACAGGTTTTGGAGCATTTGAAGTTAATGGCACATAAACAGGTGTTGGGGCATTTGAAGTTGATGGCGCATAAACAGGTGTTGGGGCATTTGTTGAAGTCGATGCAACATCAGGTGGTTTTATACATGTGGTGACGGGGATATTATCACGGAGATCTAGTTGTGTGGACGGTTCCATCTTATTATATAAAAGGGAAAAATAAAATGATACAAACATGTAATATATATTTGTCAGTCGATTCTGTTTTCAATACTATCCTTTACACTAAATGAAAAACTTGTATAAGGAAACAAAATGACACTCACTTCATGAAAAATACTGAAATCAAACCTTATTGAATGATGCACTCAAAGGCATTTTGAGGTTCTACATAATATTATTTGACAGTATTTCCTTTTATTTAACATTTTCGCGTTAAAAAAATAAAGCAGTTTGGTATACATATACAAGTATATCTCTTAACTTATAATACTGATTTATTTACGTTTGAAAATGTTTTTAGCCTAGAAATAATAATACTAGGTTTCATTCGCTTATATCCATACTTGAATTAACATACCTTGATTGAAGAAGTCTCAATTGCATCTGAAAAAGTTAAAGACACCACATTATGATTTTTGAAGGCATTCCCTTTGCTGTGGAATCCTGAACAGTCTTCACATAGGTTCCCACATTGTTTGCAGTTCGAGTGGAGCATACGTACATTAGCACATACCCCACATTTAAGTCGAGGAGAGTATATAGAAGACATCACTTTCCTAATAATATAAAAAAAAACAAAGGCAACTGTAAATTCAATATGAATAAGGAAATTGTGATTTAAGTTAACTATAATGACTACTAGTTTTATGCAAGTTAATGTTTCTGATAAATAAATATTTTTTTCTTCAAATCAAAAAACAAATCTCTATCTTTGGCTGCCCTTTATATGGGACAACAGGTTCAATTAGCATGCTCACAAAACTGACTTACCCATTCCATTTTACTATATGTTTCATTGTTAAATCTCAGGTTTTAATATATGTACATATAGGGGCTATATTAATATAATGTTTTTTCTCCTCACGGCCTTTACTAAAAATCATGACCTTGAACCAAGGTTTCTACATCACATGAAAGAAAGTCCTTTTTTCCTAAGCTTTTAATTTTTTTTTCTGTAGAGAAAATGCTAGGACAGGAATACTATTTAACAAGTTTTCGTTTTCTTGAACCTGACTAGAAAACAGTATTTTAAAAGTGTAAATATGAACAATCACAACATTGCTGTTCTTGAAAAGAAGATATTTAAAGATTCTTCTTATGTAAAACCTTAAGTCCAGGGGACCATGATATGAACAAACTTATTACACTACCTGAGATTTTTTAACATAAATATGATTAATCTTGGCTTTTATGTTCTCTACAAGTAGATTTCAGAAGATTTTCCCAGTGTATTCCTATGTAAAACTTTTATTATTTATTGTGATCCCGCCCCTCTACGGGGATCTTGATTTGAACAAACTTGAATTTACACTACCTGAGGATGCTTCCATATAAATATCACTAATTAAGGCTTCGCTATTCTTGAGATGAAGACCTTCCTCCGGGGGTCATGATTTGAACAAACTTGAATCTACACAACCTGAGATGCTTCGAATATAATTATGACTAAGCCTGGCTTTGCTGTTTTGAGATGAAAATTTTGAGATTAAGATTTTTTCCTGTGTAAAACTTAGATCTCTCAATAAGGCCCCACCCTACCCCAGGAGTCATAATTTGAGTAAACTTGAGTCTTCACTACCTGAAAATAATTCCATATAAATATGACTAATCTTGGTTTGCTGTTTTTGAGAGGAAGATTTTTAAAGATTTTCCCTATGTATTCATATGTAAAACTTGGACACCCTTTGTGGCCCCACCCTACCCCAAGGGGGGGGGGGGCATGATTTGAACTTATCTTAATGCACAATATCTGACAATGGTCAACATAAGGTTTGTGTTTTCAAGTTTAGTTGTTCCTGAGAAGAAAATTTTTAAATGATACTAGTGCCAATAATTTTTTCAATAAGGTTAATTATCTCCCCTGTAAGAAGGCGTGGGCGAGTGGCCCTTTATTTGAACAAACTGAAATTCCTTTTGCCAAAGGATACTTTTTTGGAAGTTTTTTTTAAGTCGGCCCAGTGGTTCTAAAGAAGAAATTGTGAAATTTTAACAACGACCACAGACAACGAAGACATTTCTATCATAAAAGCTCAGTTGAGCATTCGGCTCAGGTGAACTGATACAATTCAAGAAGCTAAGGGTTCTATAATAAACAAACTATTTTAAATCTGTAAGTTACTGATGGGGAATTTAATTGAAAAGGTTTTTAGAATCAGTCAAACGGAAAATTAATGTGCTCAGCGTAGAAGATATGAATGCTCTTTTACTCCGTGACCTTAAATTACGTTACGTATTTCTGTGTTTCATTCATAATTATGTGCCTTGCCTTTCAAGTTCATTTCAATTTTTTTGTTATCGGGCCATCTGTAAAAATCCCATTAGCGCCCTTCGGACAAATGCAAATTTAGACTACACATTTAACTGTTTCACATTGTAAATAATTATGTGTTTAACATAATATATATATGGAATAAAAGTGCAAATGGGATTTTTCCACTATAATAGAAAATAGGTTTCTAACAATTTGTAGAAAACAATGCATCAGTCCAAAAACTCAAAATTACATCTGATTTGGCAATTATACATACGTAGTTAACCTATTTCAACCATTAGATCTTTGCATTAAGTAACTAAATGAAAAGATCCAAGGAACTTGAAGCAAAGATTGGGCAACTGGTGAAACTGATTATAAAAATCCTCTCTATGCAAGGTTTTTATAATCGTCTGTATAGTGTCTACAACTGATCTGAACAAGAAAAAAACAGTGACCTATTTATGAGTGCATAAAGCAATACAAATAAAAATCCGAGAAGATAAGTTTTTCCATGTTATTAACAATAAATTTATTTACATATTACGTGTTTTATACAATAACACTACAAAATAGGCACAAGCATTCTTCTCGTGTTAATAAATTGAAAACAATTTAAAAGTCTGGCTTTTTGACGCCATCTTGAAAAAAGGCGGGTTCAAATATATATATGTGCCAACAAACCAACTAAAAAGTTGTGGACAGTGGTTACGATTATTGCATGATAAGCAGATAACAAAGAATACCTTTTAGACTATCCTTATCCACGTGCGTTTGTATAAAATATTGTTAATAGGCACATGGTATATTGGTCCTTGCTAAGTAATTGTACACTCACGCCTACTTGAATATAATATTTTTTTTAGCAGAGTCTCTGAAAGGGGAAGTGCAACGTAATTTAAGGCACCGTGTAATTCATGGACTGGCGGCTTGTTTTTAAAATGAGTGAAAAAGATGTTCGAAATATTGTATTGTTATGAAAATGATAACCCTTCATATTTTTTAATGAAATAATTGTTTGCTTTACATCATTAATATAACTACAAAGACCAGAAATTCATTTATTTGCCTGATATTATGGCAGAATTAAACTGTGTGAGTTTCTGCAATTTATGTAATTATTCACAGCATGCTAAACTTGATTAATAGTGAATAGAGAGATAAGATAACCCCCGCTCCTTAAAAATGTTAAGAAACAATGTTGAACATAACAATTCAGCTGAAATAGTCCAAATTACCGGTTGCAGTTTCATTTTATGTGTAAAGAAACCAGTCCAGAGCCTTTGGTTTCAGAGTTTATCTGAATTTTTTTTTTTCAATGTCATTGTCACCTATTCTCTATCTACGATGTAAAATTAAAAAAAGATGTGTAACGCAGTATTCAAAATATGTCACACATTTAAGTATTATTTAGAGAACAAGACGGGTTCTGTATCGTAGATACAAATTTGGGGGTGGATCTACGATACAGAACCTGTTGAGTTCTCTAAATAATTTGTGACACGATCAATCAAAAATAGCTCCGCCCAATTTATAGCTGTGTAGCATCCAAACTTCCGCCAGAGTTCTGTAGATGAGGCCCCGACGGGGAGTACGCATCCGCAGTATATATATATTTCCACGGAAAACGTAAAATTCGGTCAGATTAGTTTTGACAATTTAACGGGGTAGACGTTATCGAGTGATAGTCAGTCTTAATGGATAAATTGGAGGATTTAACCGTCATTGCTGTGATCTATCGTAGATGAGATTTATCATAATTTATTTTAGGGGTCTTAAAATCCCGGGTTAATAGATTAACAAAAACAGGATTTACAGAAAATTCTTCGATGGACTTTGATGTCACGGATTTTATTTTCAAATTGAATTGCGACATTGAAAACGAAATGAAAGAGATGTGTGGCTGTCGTCAGCGAGAAGGATTTTAAAAAATAAAAACGCGGATAAAATGGATTTGAATGATTTTACATGAGGAGAGTGGATGTTTTCCGTTATTGCGAATTTCCCGTTTCGTTTGGATCGATATTACGTACAGAGGATGTTTTCCGTTATTGCGAATTTTCATTTTACTTTGGATCGAAATTACGTGTAGATTCTGTGTGGAATAAGTTTTTAAAAAGTTATTAAGGAATTTTGACAATTTACATTCTCAGGAAAATACTGGGTATTTCTCCAAAATTATAATAGGAAAACATAAGGATTTACTATTTGTACGTGCTTTGCTAAATTGAATCAGATTTATTTTTAGACCGTGCTGTATTTTAGATACAGAATAGTTGGCAAATACAATACTGTATACAGGGCTAATAGAGAACGGAAAGTAGCTCAGCCCACCACAGTCCCGTTCTGTATTGCTAAAGGTACTTGGACACAGATTTGAAGTTAATTTTTTCTCTATAATATTACGACTTATATATTTTAAAGCTTATCACACAAGAATTAATTAAAAATCTTATTTAATCTAAAAGTTATTAAAATTTCAAATTTTTTGGTGGGTTTGATTGACACATCCTTGCACTTTCACGAATTTTAATTTTACTCCTAATAATTAGGAAAAGTGGCAATCTTGTTGTGTATAAATGAAAAATATAATACTATAATCCAGAAATTCAGAGTAGACATGTTCGAAAGCAATGCAATATATTCTCAGTCCGTGCAGTTTTGGTGAGCAGACTTCGACAATATAACGCACCCGGAAAATTGTAAACAGTCAACAATAATAGAGCTCTTGCCCTGTTTACAAAAACTGTATACATAACACGAGTGTGATCGATTTGCACACAACACTTAGCTCGGAATGATGATACTTTTGAAGGAGTTTTGCTTTCTAACATTTCTACTCTGAATAAAATTATTTTTCTGGATTAAAGTTTTAATATTTCTCACTTTCACACAACAAGATTGCCACTTGTCCGAAGGATTAAGAATAAAGTTAAAATTTGTGAAAGTGCAAGGATGTGTCAATCAAACCCGCCAAAAATTTTGAAGTTTTAATAACTTTTAAATAAAATAAGATTTTTAATTAATTTTTGTGAGAAATGCTATTGAAATATATAATTCGTGATATTATACATTTTTTCTGAGAAAATATTGACTTCAAATCTGTGTCCAAGTACCTTAATACAGAACAGTAAACTTCAAAGAAAAACACCGCTATCGTGTCACAATACAACCTCAAAGGCCCGTAGAAAGCAATTTCAGAGGGGGGGGGGCACACTCATACATTTTTAGATTTCAACTACCAACAATTTCTTCATTTGTCAAATAAAGGTCTTCAGACATTTTTAATGAGGGGCACAAGCACATAGTAGCAGTGATTTCTACATTCTATATACATGCATCGGCAAAATTATTGGAGTGCTCCCTCTCCCGGTTCCTTTGGCCATATTACATGCATCTAAGGCCTTTACACATTTTCAGGCATAATGAAAATTTAATGAATATTATAGAAAATGTATAGGGCAGAATATATAAGTAGTATAGTACACTTTAACCTCTAGATATTTTCCCTCATTCACCACGTTGTCTGTAGTTTGTTCCATCTTTTCTAGTTCCTCTACCAATCCTAACAAAAAAATTAAACTATTATTTAGTTTACTTTAGTACCAAAGTAAAAACTTTGGTATTCTGATTTACTACAGTAAAAACTTTGGAACTCTGATTTACTACAGTGAAAACTTTGGAACTTTGATTGACTATAGTGAAAACTTTGGAACTTTGATTGACTATAGTGAAAACTTTGGAACTTTGATTTACTCTAGTGAAAACTTTGGAACTTATGTTTTTATTTCAATTATTTATATTTTATTATATTTCAAGGTAAATATTCATGAAAGGTTCTGAGATCTTTTTAAAAAGAACTTGACCATTCCTCTGAAAGAATAATGTACATGAAAAGAATATAAATGTAAAGGTTGTTTCTTGTACCGAAAAAAGAACTATTTATTTAAATCTATTTCATTTTAATATTAGGCAGATGTAAACAAAGTTTTATCTATCGAAATAAAGAATAAACTACAAATAATATGCATTATTAAGAACAAAAAATAAATGGGCTTCATCAACCTTAATCAACATCATTTTTTTTAATTCTATGAATGTAAATATTGCATTTGAATCAACTACTTTGTGTACTTAAATCAAAATGTAAAAAAAAAAAAAAACAAGCCCCAACCAA